AAGAAGAAGAAGAAGAAGAAGAAGAAGAAGAAGAAGAAGAAGAAGAAGAAGAAGAAGAAGAAGAAGAAGAAGAAGAAGAAGAAAAGAGAAAGCTCAGGGAAAAGGTCCAGGGTTCAATTGCCAATACATCAAAAAACAAAAATGACAAATCTAGAGCCAGTGATACAGCTCAACAGAGTAGCAGCTGGGCAAGCACAAGGTGCTTAGCTAGAGTCCCAGTACCATTAAAAAAAAAGTGAGAATCAAAAAAGACACAAGTATGTAGCCTGCTCCAGATCACAAATCATTGGGCATGGTTGGTATGACACCGAGCTGTGATCCAAACGCCCAATGGAAGCCCAGGGGAGGAGCGAGTCTGCTTCTCTGTACCTTGCTACTTAGTGGCTCTCTGCCTAGCAAGTTTGGTGCTCTTAACCTCATGGAGGCTGCTGCTCCTGCACTGGACAGTTTACCAGGAAAGTAACCTGTAAATGAGTGACACAGTAGGAGCACCGCACAAGGGTAATGTTCAAATGAAAGAGCTAGAACATTTGCAAGGGAAACTCAAGATGCACTTGGGACCGCCTGACAGATTTAGGTGGGGAGAAAGCTCAGTGGGTGAGGGGTAGTGGAGGAACCAACGCAACAATTAGGATTCAATTAGGGTAATGATAGAGGCCTCTTGTTGAAGCAGAAGAGAAATCCTCTCCACCTTGCTCAAGGGAGAGCAAGCAAATCCTTCCTGAATCATCTACTAGCAGTCATTTAAGAGATGGCTGCAAACTCTGCCCTGTAAGGGAATCTTGCCATTGCATCTGACATTGGTGCAAAGGCAAAATCCTTGCAACAAGAGTAGGGCTGCTGATGTTATGGGTAGAATGGGGTTTTCCTAGTCCCCCACACTCAGTGATGGGACACAAATCTCAAGGAAACAGAAAAACATTCCTGAGTTAAACATCAAGTGGGGGGCTGGTGAGATGGCTCAGTGGTCTAAAGCACCTACTTGGAACAAGCTTGGCAAATCACAGGGACCGCGGTTCAATCCCCCAGCACCACATGCTAACCAGCCCTGCCCCCTGGTGGGCTGAGCTGGCCACACACACACAAATAAATAAACAAATTAAAAAAAAATAAAAAAAAAATAAACATCAAGTGGGTCCAATGCCTCTGGGAGTCATTTGGCTACTTGCCCGAGGACTAGGGGTAATTTGCTGTTTTGGTTGTGGGTGAATGTGACCAGTGGAGTGGGAAGGTTACAGTCTGTACCTCTTGGACTCAAAGTAGGTACCCACTTTGTCAAAGATAAACCAAGCCAGACACTAGTTAAGTAAGGGCAGATTTTAATCTGTAATACACTACGGTGGCATAGAAGTGTCTTGTTGATATAAGGGAATGAAACTCCCAACCTGAAAGGTACCTGGGAAAACTTCGTGTTCTCTAAAACCGAAGAATGAATTTTAGGAACAAACGGAGGTTAAGAGTAGAATATTTATTGGAGGAAAGAAAGCTTCTGCCCAAGACCATATGGTGAGGTAGGTCTAAGGTGGAGAATATGAAAACTACCTTAGGTGGGCATAAGGTGGGATGAAACTATGGTCAACTAATAAGGTTACAAGCACCACTGCTCAGGTAAAATCGATGAAATCCAGGACCAAATGGCGAAGCGAGTCATGTAGCAAGTGGGCATCAATATAGAACAGGAGTTTATTCAGTAGCCAGCCAGTAGTGTTGGATTAATGGATCTTTCTGGCTTTCTCAAGGTGATGATCAATCCCAGATGCTTATCTTTAGAGAGGTAAGCATTTGTTCAATCTTTAGTCTTTAGGTCTGGCCCACAGCAGGAGCATCCATCTTTCTCACAGTTGCAAGGTATCTTGACTTCCCTGCCGTCTCCCTGAGGGCCTAGCCCTGTCTGATGGTCTCTAATACTTCTATCTAATTCAGTTGCCTACAACACTGTGGTGCATTAAAAGGAAAGCAAGAAGCAGGGAGCTCAGCTATGTGTGTCAGCTGACAATTCATGAAGTCAGGATTCTCTCCTTCCGTTTCTTTCTTTCTTTTCCTTTCCTTCCTTTGGTACTAGGGATCAAACTCAGGACCTAGTATGTGTCAGGCAAGGACTGTGCCACTTAGCTGTATTCTCAGCCTAATGATTACATTTTATTTTTTATTTATTTATTTTTTTTAATTTTTATTTATGTATGTATGTATGTGTGTGTGTGTGTGTGTGTGTGGCCAGCTCAGCCCACCAGGGGGCGGGCCTGGCTGGCATGTGGTGCTGGGGGATTGAACCGCGGTCCCTGTGTCCTGCCAAACTTGTTCTAAGTAGGTGCCCTAGACCACTGAGCCATCTCACCAGCCCTAATGATTACATTTTAAAGCAGTGGCTTTCAGGTCCTTGAGAACTTTGAAGAGATTTAAATGTCATAAACAGGGGCTAGGGAGATAGCTCAATAGAATAAGCACTTGCCTGGCAAGCACAAGGGCCTGAATTCAATCCCCGATTCCGCCATCAATCAATAAATAAATAAAATATTATAAACATGTCAAAGGAACAGAGGAAGAACTCACAATTGCAATTTTAGTGAGTGATTAGATGTTGACTATAACAAATTGCTTTGGCAACTTTGAGTTTTTTCAGACATTCACTTGAAGAGGGGTTAGGGTCATCACAGGGATATGGGCCTAGGTTGTTGTGTTTTGAGGGTCCCACTGTGTAATGTAGGCTTGAACTTGTGCCAATCCTCCTGCCTCAGCCTCCCTGAGTACTGGGATCACAGATGTGTGTCACCAAGTCCTGGTGCCTTAGGCTCTTAGTAACTGTTAGTTTTTAACGTGCTTGGGATGTGTGCTGAAATGACTGTATTTCTGTTTCATAAGTCAAGGTTGAGGTGTAGCTGGGATACATGCTTATGAATACTAGAACTGAGGGAAGCTGGGGCATAAGGATAGCAAATTCAAGTCCTGCCTGGGCAATTTAGTGAGACACTGCCTGAAAATTTAAAAAAAGTAGTTGTGGTGGTGCATGCTTGTAATCCCAACTCTTGGGACACTGAGGCAGGAGGACTGATGTGAGTTTGAGGCCAGCCTGGACTACATAGTGAGTTCAAGACTAGCCTGAACTGCATAGTGAGATCGTGGCTTGCAAAACGAACAAACAAACCCCAAACAAAGAAAACCTTAAAAATAAAAAGAGTTGGGGATGTAGCTCAGTGTGAAGACCCTGGGTTCAATACCCAGTACCTGGTCCCATTCATCACACAAAATTGAGGTCTGGTTGAAAAGAGGGCTTTACAGAAACTCTTTAAGAATTTGGAGGAAAAGATAATAACAATTTGGTCAAGGAGATCTCAGTCACTTTACAATTGAAGAGCCTAGGATTGCATGGGTTGTAGCTCTGTGGTACAGCCTTTGTTTAGTAGGCTGGAGGCTCTACTATGTTTGACTCCCAACAACACACACACACAACAATACACACACACAAAGTCTAGGCTCATACCTGGGGACAGAGTTCACCAAGCTTCCCTGCCACTTGGTTTTCAGTCTAGACTAGCAGGGTAATAACTTGGGATGGAATGAATGTAGTTCTTGTTTTCTCACAAAATCGTTATTTATTCCCCTCAGCTTATTTTAGACCATAGCCTCAAGATGTAGCAGATTCTACTGAGCTGACCATGGCCTTGTCCTAGAGGTATTTCTGTTTGAATCCAAGCCCTCACTCATGCTGGGCAAGTGCTCTATTAATGAACTATGTCCCTAGATCATCATTTGCTTTTTTGTTAAAAATCAATCCTGTGCTAAACCATACTGGGACCCTACCTTCTACCACCTGGCTCCTCAGATAAGATCTTTGTCCCACAGCAGGGCCATCCTTGAAGGACAGCCCCAGAACTGCAGCTAACAAACACCAAGAGCAAGAAGTGTTTCCCCGGCCTGGTGTGGCCAGGAAGATCAGCGTCCCAGGGAAAGTTGTTAGAAATGCCTGACCTAATGAAGCAGAAACTACGGGTGGAGGGCTCGGGGATGGTTCAGTAGAATAAGCGCTTCTCTGGCAAGCACAAGGGTCTGAGTTCAATCCTCGGTTTTGGGAAAAAAAAAAAGAAGAAAGAAAGAAATTGCGGGTGGGGGCCAGCAATCAAACTGTGTTTGAAAGGCTTTCCAGGGGGAAGGCTGTCCTTTAGCCAGGGGGAAGAAACCTGAAGGGTGAATCTTTGTCTGACTATAAAGGAGCTTTATAGTGGTTTCAAAGTTTGAGAACGGCCTTCATGAGAAGAGAAAAGGAAAAATAATTAAGATATGTGTACACTTGCACTTTATCCTGAACAGTATAAGCTTTGGCGGTGGTGGTGGTGGTGGTGGGGGGTGGAGACAGAGACAGATGGAGAGAGAAACTAGAATTGGGAGACGATGAGATGGCCCCAGTGGGCCAGGGCTCTAGGAGACCCACAGGCACAATGTTCACAGGTGGGGAGAACACAAAGTCTGGTGAGACCAAACTCCCGAGATCCCAGGGATTGGAAATGGGAGCGCTCTTTACATCTTGGGCGCCTTGAAGGGTCAGGGCGAGAACCCATCTGGCTCAGGTTGTAGTTCTTTGCCAGAGCGAGCAGAAAGAATTCCCTCCAGCCAGGCTTGGCCGCAGATGCCCACAACTGCGTGAGAAGCATCCTCTCTGCTAGTTTTCACCACTCTGAGGATCCAGGTATCCAGCTCAAATCCGAGGCACAGCAAATTTCACAGCTTCTGTCGCAGCCGCTCCGAGCCGGTATTTCGGGGAACGTAGATTTTCCACCCTTTGCCTCCTGCGCTGTAGCCCCCTGAGCCCGGTCAGAACTACAAAGCCCATAATTCCTTGGCTGGAGCGCGGTGCCTTCTGGGAATAGCAGTCTCAGAGGAGGGCTGCCCTGGCAGCTCAACGATAGCTGGACTCCATTACCCAGAAGACCACGCGCGTGTGGGAGGGGTGGGAGGGGAGAGACAGAGAGGATGTGAATGGGGAGGGGGCACTCGTCCCCTTCCCCCACCCTTCCCTTCAGCCGGGCTGGGGTGGGGGGAGGGGCCGGACTGAGGCGCGGCGACGGCGCTTCGGGAGGGCAGGGCCAAGCAAGGGCGCGACTGGCCCGCTGCTGGCGGACAGTAGAGCAACGGACTAACGGGTCTGGACGCGGGCGGCGGCGGCGGCTTTCTGCACGGGTGGAGGCGTCGGCAGGATCGGCGAGCATGGCCCGCGCGGCGCCCGTCGCTGACTGAGGTGCGCGGGCGGGATGAGGGCGGGCAGGATGCGGAGCGCCCCGGGCCCCACGCTGCTCCAGACCTCCTGCGCGCGGGCTGCGGGCTCGGCCCAGCGGTGCAGTCTGGCCGGGTCCAGACCCACAACTTCCCTCTGGGGTAGAGGCGCTGTATGGGCGGGGGTCCGCTCGCCTTGGCCTCGATCCTGCTCCCCGCCTTCTGCTTCTGCACGTCAAACCGCTCCCAGTCTTTCAGGAGCTCCCGTTCCACCCTTTGCCTGTAACCCCCAGCCCCAGCCCTGAAAGCTCACCCTGCCTCAGTCTCCACTTAAGAGTCCACTGCCTTGCAGTTCGCACCCCTAGCCTCGGGAGCTCTGGCCTCGTTTCCCGCTGGAGACCCCGGCCCCACTCCTGGTCATAAGCTGTCTGCACCATTAGCACCTCCCTCCTCTTTCCCCTAAAGTCTTTTTCCTATCTAACACTGCTCCCAGTTCTCTGTGGCCCAGTTCTTTCTAGTAAGACCTGGCACTTTGACCTCTTTCTTACTTTGGAGAAACTGAGGCATGGTGCGAGCCAGAAACTTGGCCAGTGTGCCAGTCCCTTGGGCGCCGGCCTGAGCCCCGACTCTTGTCTCTTGTTCCTCCCATGCCTTGGGATGAAAGACTCATTCCTTCCCTGCCGCCTTTTCCTTGTGACTGGACCAAACTTCCCAGCCCCTGGTGCGGCTCTGGACTGAGCTCTCTTTAGTCTCTCTTTTATCGTTGGTGCCACATCTGTTGCCCTCTCCTTTGCATAATGGCTCTGGTCCTCTGGCTGGGGAGGAGACATCCACCCATGGCAGCTTGCTCAACTTAGCCTTTTGTTTTCTATCCCTGGCCAACTGCATCCATCTCCCATCTTGGCTCTTGCTTCCCAGCTGCGCAAAGGACCAGAGAACAGATTAAGGTGGTGGTGGGGAGAAGGGTGGTGCTGGTGAAAGGGACCTGCAGCTTCTTTGAGCCAAAGCTGTGAGAGGTGTTCAGGGTACCCTTGGACCTCTGGGAAACAGTGATTCCTAGCCAGTAACTCACAGTTGCACCTTGTCTTTGGGACAGATGTCTGGAACCCAGTTGGCCATCCTTGACTTTTGTATCTGGTGGGCTTGGAAGTCCCACTGAGATGGAAGGGACCTTTGTGGAGACAGTGTGGCATAAAGGGACTGTGACAGACCACACCCCTACTCCTCGTGTGGTTTCTGCTGCTAAGTTTGGAGGGGGTTGCCCTTTTTGGGGAGGGCTGCCTGGTAGGTGCTCTGAGCACTTTGTGGAGGAAGGCAGAGTCTGTAGGCGGTGATCTCAAGTTTTTGTTCTGGTGCTCAGAATTTGAAGGGAAATGATAAGGGTTCAGAGAGGCGGCAGACTTGCCTTTATAATTTATTTTTTGTTTTGTCATCTTTGCAGATTTTCCTTTGGGTCTTCCTTTTTATCCCAATCCTTTGATTCCCCCAGGAAGGGAAGAAGGGAAAGGAGGCTGCGCTTCGGGAGTTTGGAGGGGTCCTGAGTAAGCGGTCTTGATCTGAACCAGATGGTTCTCCGCTACAGCACCCTGGGTCCCCAGCCCTCCCCTTTGGCTGTGAATAGGATGCTTTTAACCTTGTAACTTGAGAAGGGAAGAAGGGAGGCCAGGGGGCCAACAGTCTGTGTGCGTGTTTATGTCTGCATCTGCACACTCTGCAAGCTTGTCAGGGACCGTGAGAATGACCCTGCCCTGAGTGCATTGTTGTGATGTGCTGTGGCATGCTGACCAGCCCCTGTGCACTTTCTGAGCCCAAAAAGAACCTCTAGATGTGGCCTGGTGGAAACATTAACACCGCCCCCACTGTCCCAAGCCAAGGCTTGGTGAGGACCCAAGAGTGCCACCTGGGATTGAGATATGTGAAACTTTAGGATTGGAGTTCCCGAGAGGTGAGGTGAGCAGGGTGGCTTCCCAACAACTTGTGTTCTCTTCTCATTGTGTGAGATCTGGAGGCTAGGGGTTGGGGAGAATGGTGGAAAGTAGATTCTTTTGTGTTGCTCTGTACCACATTCTGTCTTGTTCTCCTGCTGTTCGTTGTACTTGATTTTGATCCCTGTTAAATTGTATAAGCTCTTCAAATAGATCCTTGTTTCTGAAATAACCTCATTTGCGTGTAGTAGTTGTTCAGTGCTTGAATTAAAGCAATGTATCCCATAATTGAAGGTTTAAGGCGGAGTTCTTTGTGCTTGACCAGGCGTTAGAATCACCCAGAGAGGGCTGAGGATTTAGCTCAGTGGCACAGCACCTGCCTGGCAAGCACAAAGTTTTGATTTCTGGTACCAAAAAAAAAAAAAAAAAGAAAGAAAGAAAGAAAGAAAGAAAGAAAGAAAGAAAGAACAAACTGTCCAAAGAGCTGCTTAAGGCACAGGTTGCTGGGCTGGCCATGCTACTGCTTTTCTGATTCATTTAGTCCGGTTGGAACCAAGGTAGAATTTACATTTCTACCCAGCTCCTTGAGGCACTTTGAAAACTACTAGTTTGAGGCCTTTACAGTGAGTGGCAAATTAACCCAGATAGATGTAAAGCTTTAAGACTTTTCACGTTACTTCTTCACCCTGACTCGTTCTGGCAGCTATACTAGTTTGACCTTTTTCTTTCACTCTGATGCTGCCCAAGCAGGATTGGCTAGGTTAATGAGGAGGGTGACTTGTGGTGCCTAAGCTGCCAGCCCCACTGTAATCACTGTTATTTTCCAGTCCTAAATAACCCATTGTTATTTGAAGGAAGGTCTCATGACCAAGCAGGACATTTAGGAACCAAGGCTTTGGGAAAGGGTGGATTGTAGACATAGTGAAGCAGAGCTGTCCTGGGCCCTCTTCTCTCCTGTACCTACCTCCCAGACCTAGTGGGTTGGGGTGCCTGCCAGTTGAAGCCCTGCCATGGCCACACACTAGAAGGATGCCTGGGAATCTGCAAATCGAGAAGAGCAGAGGAGGCATATTGTGCTTTGCAAAACGTTTGCTGCTTATAGGCCATGACAGGTAGATTGATTGATTTGTATTTTTTGAGACAGGGTCTGGATATCTATTCCAGGCTGGTCTTTTATTGTGAAATGTATTTGGTGCGGGGTCTTACTACACAGCTCCGACTCGTAGTGATCCTTCTGTTTTCAGCCTCCCCAGCACTGGGATTAGAGATGTGCATGCTGGAGCTCAGCGTACCTGGGGGTGGATCAAACCCTGGTCCCCGTGCTTGCCTACACAGGCACTTAGTCTGCTGAGCTATCATGATGGGTGCTGAAGCAGGAGGATGGTTGCAAGTTCAAGAGCAGCCTGCGCTGCAAAGTGAGCTCAAGGCCAGCCTGAACTGCCTAGTGAGACTATCTCAAAAAGACAAATAAAATGTGATTTGATAAAAAGGATATGATCCAGTGCTTAGACTGAGTGGGGAAACAAAGCAAGGGCTGTCTATTCAGATTCTACTTGACCTCTTGTGACTCTTTCCTTCGTCCTGAGCGTGGTATAGAACCTTTCTAAAATGGGATATGATCTATCAGACATGGTAGATTAGAAGGTATCTTTATGGTCAGGCAGGGGAGAATTAGAGTAACATTTTTAGGCTTTATAGTTTGCTTCAGGGAAGGGTTTCTAGTTCTGTGGCTTGCCTTGGGGTGGAAGGAGTTGGGAGAGCAGAGAGCAGGAAAAGTTCAGCTAGAAACTTGGGATTTGAAGCTTTCAGTTTGAGGTATTGTTTTCTAACTCCCACATGAGCAAAGTGCTGAGGCTCAGACTTTGGCAGGAAAGGGCTTCCTTACAAGTCTAAGATAACAGTCAGAATTAGAGAGATGACACAGTCTCTACATCTTCTCCAGGGTCTTCTACCAAAGGCTAGCCTTATGGAGGTACCACTGCTGCCAGGGCAAATATACTCTGGCTGGGTTCTGTTGTTTGTTTATTTATTTGTCAGTGAGTTCAGAACTTCATTATCATAGTACATTTTCTATATAGTTGTTGTTTGTTTGTTTTTTTTTGTGTGTGTTTTTGTATTTTAGGACGTGGTCTACAGGGTCTACAGGGTCTCACTACGTAGATTGGACTCACAGTAATCCACTTGTGTTCAGCCTCCCAAGAGCTGGGATTACAGGCACAAACCACCACACCCACTCTCAATCACTGTTTCAGCATACCCTGGGGGTGGGGTCGGGGGTGGGGTTGGCACAGCAGGCCAGGAATCAAACCCCAGCTAGCCACTTTGTTCTGCCTAAGCAGGTGTTTTAGTGCACTGAACTATTTGGCCAGCCCTTTTTTGGTGGGGGTGGAACTGGGGATTGAACTCAGGCCCTTGAGCTTGCCAGGAAAGTGCTTATTCTACTGAGCCATCTCCCCAGCCCTCCAGCCCTTTTTTTTTTTTGGTGGCCTATCAACCCACCCTGGCGGTGGGGCTGGCACAGTACGTGGTGTTGGGGAGCCATGGTCCCTGCACTTGCCTAAGCTTGCCTAAGTAGGTGCTTTGGACCACTGAACTATCTCTCTGGCCCTCACTTTTTTTTTTTTTTTTTAATGATTTTGCTACAGGGTCTCACTATACAGCTCTGACTCATAGTGATCCTTCTGTTTTCAGCCCCCCCCCCATTACAGGCACGTGCCACCACTCCTGGTTGGTCTAGGTGGCTGGCTGAGTGTACCTGGGGGTGGGGCTGGTGTGGCCTGTGGTACTGGAGTTCAAACCTGGGTCCTTGTGCTTGCCTAAGCAGGTGCTTAGTCCACTGAGCTATCTTGCTGGCCCTTGAGCTCACTTTGTAGCCCAGGATGGACTTGAACTCAATGATCCTCTTGACTAAGCCTCCCTAGTACTGGGATTACAGGCATGCGCCACTGTGCCTGATTTAGGTTTATCTTCTTATGTTTGGTACTTTCATCACCACAGCTTGAGATTCACATTTTAGAGAGGAGAGTACTGGCTGGCCCAGCTTGGGCCATGTGCCCTCCGTGGGTTAGGGAAGAACTGGTGGCATGGTAGGCTATCTCTC